AAAGTGGCCACCTACTGGTCTGATGCGTATAAAACAATATCGCAGATTGTTGACATTAATGCCGGAACCTTTGTTAATTATCCTTGATACATCAGAAGTATTTAATAATCAACATCAGCCAAAAAGCAGTTAATTTCCTATTGTCTTATTATCGCTAAGAAATTACTCTTAATGTCATGGAAGGGGCCATCAGTACCAAGCTCTAAAATGTGGCTACGAGACCTTGTTAACATTTTACATCTAGAGAGAATATGATACTTGTTAAAGGATAAAGTACAGTCATTTAAGAAAGTGTGGCAACCTCTTTTTTAGAATCTGTAACATTATGAGTAACATCTCCAAATTCACAGATATACGTACCGCCACAGCCTGTTATTATGTTTGTTCTCAGTTTTGTGGGATTTATTTTTATTTTAACTTTTATATACCAAAAGTACTGAGTGCTGTTGATCCTGTATAATTTGAGTTGTGCTCTGTTTTTGGCTCAATAAAAATGTTATGAGTAAAAACAAGCATTGCGTGCATGCTCTCTCTCTTCCCTGAACTCCCTCTGGGTCTGTCTAACCTGCTCTGTTCCCATGGGTCCTCTTCCCTGACTTTATTTCTTGCGTAAAAATTTACAACAAAAATCTGTGTGTTGATATTGAATTAATAGTAAATAGTAAGTAACAAAGTAAGTAAACCAACTAAAATTATTTTAAAATTTTTCAAAATGAACTTCCTATTGAAACTGTTATCGTACTTGTACAAGGTGATGTGGCATTAGGAGGACTTTATACCAGATGCCCTCCCTGTTACTGTGTTTAGAGGAAGAAAAGCAGCACATGGTGAGTTTTGTTTCTGCAGATACACTTCTAATGTTCTTGTGATTCTGTTCTGGTCCGTTGTTGTAGTAATAATTGCTATAAGTGTATTTAAACATGTACAACAGAGTAGATCATCAGAATGTGATCATCATGTGTTATTCTGTGTCCACAGAGACCAGAGCTTCTTCACTGGAATAAATCTTCACACTGTCCAGCTCCAAACTGTGTATCTCTGTCCCTGCTCTCTTTGAGTTTGATTCTGTTTAAGACAATACAGAACTGTGGAAAACTAAAGACTGTTTTTGTATTCTTTTACAGAATTAGATCAATTAAATTAAATTATACATACTTATACATTTCATGATAAGGTAACATAATATAAATATGCATATTCAGCATGATTTGTTCAAATTTCATCAACATGAAAAAGTGATGTTCATGTTCCGAGAAAAATATGTGTAGAGGGCTTCGAAAAAAGTTTCAAAGCCTAAACATAATTTTATTGCGTGCAACCGCTTTCCATAACTTTTTTACGCAAATCCAGCAACTTTTTTTTTTTCAGTGCACTCTTTGAGAATATTACTGAAAGTGCAGAGGTTCTGTAGAGCCACTGAAATGTTTGTAAATTGTGGTGTGAGATCTTGTGTTGTCACGATCAGATGTTATATTTATTCATTTATGTGTAAAACCATGAATCTGAGCAATCGAATCATTGAAGCTCTAGTGTGTCCTGTGAAGAGCTCTGTCAGATTCTTCTCTGTGGAGACACTGGCGGTCTAGTCTGTAAATATTATAACGTGCACTGTATTTAATTTTTTTTTAATTCTTACTATTTTCTTTTTAATACTATGAGCCAGATGTTACGTGTTCTTAATAAAGATTGAATTGAACTGAATATTCTCAGAAGAGTCATGTTTAACAGACTAGAAATCATAAACAAGTCATAGTCATAAACAAGGATAAGATATAATAATCTTATCTGTCACTGACCATTAACCATCTGCTATATGGGTATATGATGAAGCTGAATTTAGGTTTATAACCATATATGAAAGCTTTTCACTCTTAAACTTTAGACAAACTCAATTAATCCACAAGGGGAGTTTTCTGGACACAGTAACTCACACATCACAAAATCAATATCACAAGATAAATTGCCCTTTACTCAAATTCAAATTGTAAATGCTACAGTGATGATTTGAAAGAAATGTCAAAATAACGTAGTAGCAGAATTGGAGAAAATAAATGTATTTAATTTAAAATATCAAATGAGTGACTTACCTCAGATCTAAATTAAGGATAACCAATATAATGGATAAAGTCCCCAAAGTTATGCTGAGAAATAAAAAAAATGTACAGCAGTGTCTTCTCATGGCTGTGGGGCATGTGAGGTAACTCTCTCTCTCTCTCTCTCTTCTCTCCAGTGTTTCTTCTCTCACCTGAAACAAATCTGCTCATTATGTGGTTCCATTCCCTCTGTTACACCCATAAAGCCGACAGGTAGAACTGTTAGATAATAGAGGGTGCTCTCACTGGTTTAAACACAGTGCATTCCTCTTGGCCAACCACCTGCTGATTATATTCTGCTTTGCCAATCAGGTTTGAAAGAGTAACATGTTGTGTAATAGTGAGTTATTATCAGATTACGTTACTTCTTGCTTTTGTAGTACTAGTCTAGTTCTAAGTTATAAGGAGCCACATCTGTGAGTATGTGAGCATGCCCTGGAGGCTTTCATTCATTGTATTGTTGTTTTAAACCTTATTTATCTTGGCGTATTATTTCCTTCGCAAAATAATCCAACTGTATACCACACATCTTCCCATAAAGACCTGGCGTTTGACGTAACAAACATTATCACCTTGATCTGATCTGGTCGCTGCTTTAGACATTCTTTAGATGCTTTTTTCTAACAACTGCGCAAATAAAAATGGTCAAGCTCAAAATGTTATCTGTGTCTTCACTGTCATGGATGTAGTGTTTGTGTAGACATATAGGCTTGTATAATGTGTACAATTATTTATTTCACACAATTCACTACTGTAACTCTGACTGTTACTGTGCCCAAAATAATAATGCTGATAGTTTACATGGCCTGAATTGACATGAATTAACATGATCCAAAGTCATTTCCCACTTTCCTAACACATTCCTATCATCCCAGTTATTCACTGTGAAGAGTTCACCAGAGCATCACATTGAAGTTAAATATGCCAACAGCACACTTCCTGGTTCATATAAACAGACAGCACACAGCCCTCTTATTTTGACCCTCAGAGGTGCTTTTACAAAATTTATTTTCAGGTATGGCCAAGAAGGAGTGGGTTTAAATAAGTCTTACATCTTCCCACTCCTTTTTGAACAATCTTTAATTTGAGTCAATCTATGAAATTGTACTAACTGTACTCTGCTATGATGTAGGACAAATAAAAAATTATAGGGTTGTTGAGGGAGCATATTGTCCCATGTAAAGACAGAGCACACCTTGTCTGGAGGGCAAAGTCTGCTGGTATGGCTTGGTACTTCCGAGTTGCCTTTTGGTCATCATAATAGTGATTTCTGAAAACTCTAAGGGTGATTACTAAAGAAGCCAGAACCCATACATGTCCACATTGTTGCATATTTTTAAAGCCAAGTTAACCATCTTTTATTGGGGTCCAGTCCCTGTGAAGGCCAGAATGAGTCCAGTATTCAGAGTTCATAAAAACAATGTGGGTTCTTGAAGTCCTCCAAAGTGTACACAGTTCTCAATAGCATCTGTGCTCTTAGTCCAAAGGAGAAGTTTGGGAGAAACAGCAGGGAATCTCCATACTGATATCCTCTACAAAGTGCCAAAATACAATTTTAATGAAAGAGTGAAACAAGGGATTCACCAAGAATACAAATAAACCAACAAATATTAATACTCCAGTTTGTAATCTGAGTGCCTCATCTTTCCTCAAGTTATCTTCAATGCTATTGACTGATAGATTTCACCCCCTTCACCTCAGCACCACCATTCAGAAGGTTCAGAAATAGATTTTTTTATTTATTTTTTTGTCATTACGGAACAAGTGGCTAGGTTGGAGTTCTAATTTTTCAGCGTCAGTAGAGGGTCTCTAAGTTTTTTGATATGGGGTTACTTTTGTCTCATTAATATTCACAAATGCACAGATGGTGATCGACAAATAATTAATTTGTATATGTGTTTTAATATCCACACATGCAAATTTAATATTTGTAACTTGTATTTTGGTATTTACAAATAGATGTGCATTTGTAAATATATCTTTTTTCATTTGCAAAGAATAATTTCATTAGTAAAACTGAAAATTCTGTTTGTAAAATGTGAGTCACATTTGTGGATCACACGAATCCACCGATTTCGTGATGTAATTTTGAGCCACTCATTTTGAAAAATCCACAAACTCAGACAGATCCACAAATACAGACACGTCCTTGACTAGCGGGGGCAGCAGCTGGCGCACAAAACATTTGACACTGGTGAAATCGAAGCATCTCTTACTAACTCAGTGTATTCCTCTTGGCCAACCAACTGCTGTTTTTTTCTGCTTTGCCAATCAGGTTTGAATGAGTAATATGTTTTGTAATACTGAGGGATTATCAGATTACGTTACTTCTTTTGTAGTAGCTACTAGTCTAGTTATAACTGGTAAAAAAGCCACATCTGTGAGTATGGTGAGCATGCCCTGGTGCCTTTCATTCATTTCATTCATTCCATTCATTTTGTTGTTGTTTTAAACCTTCTTTATCGTGGCATATTATTTCCATTGCAAAATAATCCAACTGTAACCTGTATAAAGTCACTTAGGCTAATGTTTACCCTTATCAAATGCCTCAACAGCTGAGGACTAAACCAGAACTGAACCAGAACTGAACTTGGACTAAACCAAAATTGAGTGTCTGAATGACCCAGAGTTGTGCCCGAGCAGACCATCAGGTGACCGAGGGTGAAAGGACCGGCTCAAAGGTCCGCGCCCCCGCGGGGCTAAAAGCAGCCGTTACCCGAAAGCGCTTTGTGGACACCGTGCTCAGCGGCTCGGGGTCCTCCCTCTCTCTCTGTCTCTCTGTCTCTGTCTCTCTTAATCTTTGACTTGAGAGAGACAGAGACAGAGAGACAGAGAGAGAGACAGAGAGAGAGGGAGGACCCCGAGCCTGTGGAGCACGGTGTCCGGTGACGGCTGCGTTTAACTTTTCGAAAAGAGTTCAAAGTTCATCGCAGAGGCTGCTATCCATAATGTGGTTGTCCAAAAGATACATTTACCATATATAAAATTTCAGAAACAGTTTATAAATAACTTTTAAAGTCTTTTTAAAACTTTTTTTCCTGAAAGTCTAGGAGAAAAATGAATGGGAAAGTTAGTTCCAGAACAGGGGGTGGGCAGTCACTGTTGAGCTCTATAATCAATTCAGTCGTGCATTACTTCTGTGTTCCTTCATTCCAGGCAGTTCAGGGCAGTTTCTGAGGTGGGCACTGTCCCAGGTGAACCTTGAGCACCCCTTCATGATGCAACTTTAGCAAGAGCTCAAACTCGGCCGGCATGGCGTGGAACTTCTTCTTCGTTTGTCTATCGTCATAGTAGTGATTTGTCAGCGGCGCAAGTCCGTATGGGTGATTACTAAAGGGCCAAAATCCGTAGAGGTGCACATTGTTACAGACTTCCAGTGCTAAACTAGCCATGATTAGCCCCGTGCTGAGGCGAATCGCTCGCAGGCCCTGTGAACGCCAAAACACAGCCAATTTTTGGAGGTACTCGGGGTGGAAGAAAATGGGGCGGATTGGGCTCCCAAAGTCCTCAATGGAGTAAAAGGCCCGCATGGACAGGGGCGTGTTGTGGATGAAGGAGAAGGCTGGAATAAGCAGCATCGCCTTTCCATAGACGTTTAGACTGTTCACAAACGGACGCCGGCGACCCATCAGACCCCCATATCTGAAAGCAACAACACATGAATTACCTTCGCTTCGTAAGGTGTGGCTTATTGATACTTCACAGTGACAGTACTCTGGGGGTGTTCTACATGTATCTCTATTGCAGAAAGGTTCAACAGTTATCATGGTGACACAATTCACACATTAACAAAAATATTTTAAGATTTGAAATGGATTTTAATAACACATTTATTTATGAGCCTGTGATCAATATGAGCACTTGTTGAAACTTGTTTAAGCTCACAAATCATCTCTTCTGTTGTACCTTCAACCAAGTCAACTCTTCTTGGTCAAATTGTGATAAAATAAAACTCTAATAAAGTCTGACTTGAGCAACAGAGTTTGAGTAGTGCTTTCATTTCAGTATAGTTTGTTCTTTTACTGTTATCTGGGTTTATTTTCTAACATTCTAACATCTATTCACTAGCTAGGACCACGCCAACAACAACATAGTGCGAAGAAGTTTATTGATAATGTATGAAGCGGGGCAGAGATGGCTGGGTTGAGACTATGGGTGGGGGCTCCGTCTCAATCTTCAATTGGCCCAGCCGGAACGGGACCCCCAAAAGGTTAAAGGAATGCAAGATAGGATGGGCTGGACAGAGATCGTTGAGGTCATAACGAATGTAGGTGAGGTAGGCACTGGAGGCCCGGTGACTGAGGATCTGAGTTTCGGTCGAATGTGCCTGCACCGATGCGGAAAGAATGGATGGAAAACGAATGGGAAGATATGCCGGAGAGCATAGAACTTATCGGAAATGTCACTGAACCAGAACCTGGAAGCCATCTGCCTGTTTCTGTGAGGAATAGTGGATCGATGGAGGAGGAATCTGAGACGTGACGGAAAGCAAGATATTTTACAAAAGGTTCGCAAGGACTTGGAAGGTGTTTCCCAACTGGTCTGTTATACTCCTGCGGAGAGTGAAGATGAGCGAAGACCATAGAATGTAAGGCAAGATCAGAAGCTTGGGGTGGACAAACAGGTCGAAAACAATTGGTGGTAAGAGTGAATTCGGAACAAGAATCGGAAGGCCCAAGAAGGCTGTGAGGAACATGCATTCGAGGGTCATATCCTCGGACGGCGAATGGTATCTGGAACGAAGAGTGAGGATACGAGGTAGAGGATATCTGAAGCAAGTGGTAAGCATTTAGGAGGGAGACAAGGTTCGGATTTAAGTAGCCCTTAATCAACGTGGAAACGTGGCAGTGAGACAGCGAGAGAGATGGGCAGTCCTTGCTTGAGATCATCTTATAATGAAGTTAACTCCTGAGAGATGCGCCTGGATGGTGGAGACAGAGATGTTACTGGAGTGATGTGAGAAGGCGACAAAACTGCAGGTGGTGCTGACGTCGGAGAACTGAGGGGGAGCTGATGGAGACTGAAAAGAGCTTGAAGCTATTCCACCCATCGGGTAGGTAGAAAGGGAGCTCAGGGCGAGGCTGTCGAGGATAGCGAGTTGCGAGATTGAGACGAGAGGGATGAGAGGGGCGAGAGCGGGGTAGCTTAATTGAAGATCGTGGCCAAAAATGGGGAACTGGAATATGCTGGATGTCCGAGTACAGAGCCAAGCTTTTGTAAAATCGAAGAGAGAGAATCCGCAATGGAGTTTAAGTAACCTGGAATATGAACTAGGTGAGCTTTGAAGGAACTGAGAGATTGAGGAGGAGCGAGACCTTCCCCTGTTGATGATGTGGACTGTGGTGTCGCTGTCGGAATGGATAAGAATGCACCTACTAGACCACTCGTGCCCCCCAAAGAATGGCTGCGATAGCAATGGGGTATATTTCGAACGAGGCGGAAGAGCTGTCAGCTGGTCTAAGAGAGAGGGGCTTGAAGGGCACGTGGAAGCGAACCGCTTTCCTGATAAAACCCTCTGAAACCAACTGAAGGAGCTGCGACGGTGAAAAGCTGGATATTTTCGGGAAAGACACAAAATTCCATTCCAGGAGTCTAGGCAATGCTTCCATAGGCAGTGCTTCCATAGGCGCATGTCGGACGTACGCGCTTCAATCGGTGGTATAATACTGTGAAGGGATTTGACTGATGTGGCTTGCATGAGATGTGAAAGAAGGGCTTGCCCAGAGGAATGGTGCGGATAGCATAGTTAAGGTGACCGAGAAGCACAACGAGCTGTCTCTTGTTGCATGAGGTTGCGAGAATGAGTTGGAGAGGAGCGGGGAGGTTCGCTGGACCTTTTTGGCCACTTGAAATGAGATCGAATTGAGTGTAATGCCGAGAAACTCGATAGTAGTGCAAAGGCCGAGGGTCTTTCCTCTGACTAGGGAACTCCAAGACTGGAGAAGGCTCTGATGTGTGACAATAGGCTGGAACGAGGGGAGAAAGACGCAGGAGTCATGACCAAGATGTCATCTAGGAGGTGTCGGGCGTACGGGAGTTTAAAGTTGCTGATGAGAGTCTGACACAAGGTTTCGGACAAGGAGTCAAAATTCTAGGGCTGCTGTGGCAGGCAAACTTCGGGTGTACAGCGACGTATTAAAACCCTACCCAGAGACTCCGAAGTAACGCCCGGAATCTGGGTGGATGGGCAGGACCTTGAAGGCTCTGGTGATGTCCACTTCAGAGGGCCACGCTCCATGGCCTGCAAAAGGAGTGAGAGATGACGTGATTGCTGGTGGCATACTGCACGGAAAAAACTGAGGCGGGAATGAGACTGCTGATGCTGGGAACGGCTGCGCCGTGAGGGGAGGATAGGTCGATGGTGAGACATCTCTTTCCCAGTGTACTTGCGTGTGGCGATGCCAATGGGGTTGTTGCGGAAGTCTCGAGAGGAAGATGTTTGAATTGGCCGATCATGAACTCTTCGGTGACATCCTTCGTCAGAAGGTTGTCCACAGCGGTGGGATCTGCGAGCAAGGACTGGGGGTTTCTATACGATTGTGAAGTGACAGGTGGAACTTCAATGCCAGGATGAAAACTGTCGCTGAAACCAGCAAACAGAAATTAACGAACCGATCATTAAAATAATTGCAGATCATCCTTCCTCCCTGATAGAGGATGGGGTGTTGCAGGATTGCTCTACTGATGGGTATGACGCGGTGGGGTGGGTTGAGGAAGCGAGGAATCACAGGCGGAGAGGAAGCGGTGGAAGACAGGCGATGAACCACTGGGTTCTTCGAGGCTGGGGTACAATTACGAGAGGGTGTGACCGCTGAGCAAGGAAGCAGGATGGAAGGAAGCTCCATGGAGGCCACACGAGAGAGAGGCATGAGCTGTGAAGATCCTGCAGTAGAGCTCGAAATCCGGGACCCCCCAGTAAGTACCGTGGTTGATTTGCTGGAGCCTGCCTGCCGCTTGGGTAGCAAATAAAACATCACATGTGTGGAACCCGGTCTTGCCGAATTACAGCACGAGATCGAGGACCAATGCCAGGTAGTCATCTAACTCCGTTCTCCGGTTGTCAAAAGCGGAGCGGATTAGGTTGCAATATAAGGAGAAGGTGAAAGCCAATTTGCTGGGGGTGAGATTCTTGGATCGTAAAGGAGTGGTGTGTAGTATAAGCGAGGTGAGGCTCTGGCTGGTTAGTATATCCCGTGGCTGGCTTGCGATAGGAGGGCTGGATTGAATGAGCGAGACTGATGTAATAACCGGTAATAATCAGCTACCGGAGAGATGAGGGAACGAAAATCGAGGGATTGAAAATTGAGGGAACGAAAATCGAGGGAACGAGAGACAAATGATTGATGACGTATATGACACGGTAGAAAAAAACATTTGGCTGTTGGGGAAGGGGAGGGGAAGGGATAGAGCAGAAGAAGGAAATGGATAAGAGTGCTCTGCAGCTTGTAGGGCCTGCAGGGCCATGGGTGCTGCCGAGGATATTGTTGAAGCTGCTGTGGTGACGACAGGTGGAGCACAAGAAGCCATCTGACTGGTAATGGCTGGAATAAGAGAAAATAAAGGAGGGATGTGTGCATGGGGATTTAGTGCAGCCTGCACAGACAGGGATGGGAGAGAGACCCGTTGGTCTAACATAGAGGGAGCAGGCACAGGGGACGAGACAGTCTGTCTGTGGAGGCAGACTGAGAGGCTGGGGGCGCGCCGATGACGTCGGCGGCTGGAGCTGCGCACGTCGGTTGAGAACGAGGAGAGCTGGGAGCCCGGGGGACGGGGCTCGGACCCAATTTAATAGTGAGGGAACAGCTTGGATTTATTATCCTGGTGGCTGGAACCGATGCCTTTCTTCTTCAGTTCCTGCTGGAGGCCAGCCACGGTCCAGCTTCTAATGTCCTACCTGTTGGGAGAAGCCCGCGGGGCCGCCTGCAAGGAAGCGAGCACGTGCGGGAGGACCTGCGCGGTGTAGCGCGGGCGCAGAGTCGAGCTCTGTGGCGGGAGCTCAGGTGACTTCCGAGGGGGCTGCAGTGGAGGCGGTTGAGACTAAGGCTGCGTTCAGACTGCAGCCTGAAGTGACCCAAATCCGATTTTTTTGGCTTCTATGTGACCTGTATCCGATCTTTTAATGACAGTCTGAACGGCACAGATCCGAATTTTTCAAATGCGACCCAGGCCACTTGGATATGTGGTCCTGAATCCGATACATATCCGATCTTTTAACATGCGACTTCAGTCTGAACGGCCAAAGCGCATCCATCCGACCTACACATCATTAACAAGCAATAAACGTCACTATTCTGCGCTGAAGCAGGCGGAAACCGGAACTGTAAAATCGCCAGGTGCTCAATGCTCGCGACCATATTTGGACAACTTCCGTAAACACAGAGCACGCTCGCTGTGGTTGACGCATGGGGTTGACGTCATCGTGTCCTCCAGTGCACATGCGGGACACTTTCGGGCCGTTTACCGTTCACACTGAAGTCACAGACAAGTCGCATTTAATTGGCAATGTGAACGACCTCGCAAAAACATCGGATTTCACAAAAAAATCGGAATTGAGCATTAAGCCCTGCAGTCTGAACGTAGCCTAATAGTGATGAACGCGAGGCCTGGGGCTGCTGCCGGGGAGCGGTGAGAAGGAAGAGGCGAACGAGGGGGAGCAGAGCGAGGATCCCGCTGTCTGCGGAGGAGATTACGACGTGTACGCCCCGGAGAGCGCCGCAATGGAGGCGTGGGGCAGATGGCATTCGAAAGGCCAGAGGAGGTACGCAGGCTTACTGCTTGGACCTCGGAGCAACTGAGGAGCGTCATGAATGTTTCCTGCTCGTGGCTCTCCAGGAACCATTTTTGTAGAACTGCTGCGAGTGTAAGGAGATGGCGGACCCGTATCAGACGGGTTAATGATCAGCTCATGAAGCGTGTCTCGTGCTCTGTCGAGTTAGCCGACACAAACTGCGATGATGGGAAAGGCTGCTACATATAGGCTTCTGGGAAATTAGAGGCGTGGTCGAGGTGAGTGCTGGTTCGCTGGTGAGAGGAGAGGGCGGCTGAGGTGTGGTCCTGCTCCTGAACCTCAGTTAATCATATTAACTACATTTTTTGAAAAGAATTGTCATTTCTGGAATTCACACTTCACTATCACTTTTGTGATTGGTTAATTCCACCTGTCACTCACTCAAAACATGATGGAGGTGGGCCCATGGGATTGGCAGTCTCACTTATGCCAGTCTGCCTCAGGACAGCAGTGGCTAGAAGTATCTTAGCACCACCAAGTGTATACTGACTGAAAGCTTTTTTGGTAACATTACATAAGAAAAAAGATTAAATAAAATGTGACTGTAATAATCACAAAAGTGTGTTCACTCACTTCTCTGTAAATATACTGGGGTTTGCTGTTACTATGTCTGTCTTGTTGCCCACATGTTTCCTGTGGTCATTTTCTAAAGGAGGGAGGTTACATCTGAAAAGTAAAAGAAGAAAATAATCTGAATTTTTTTTTATTCTTAAATATGAATAATTTATGTTTTAACCCTCTCAGGCTCAAATAAATTTTTAGTATCAGGAAAAATCTGATATTTGGGGAAAATTATAATATGGGGTAGTAATATACAATCCTGACTTTTTTATCCTTTGTGAACAAAAAAAGTATTTTGCACTTCTGGCAGGCCGTTTGCGTGGAGCCATTCTTGCACAGTCTGCATCGTCCACGTTTATCAGCATGGATGGGAGAAAAGGCTCCTGAGTAAAAAAACCTCATAAAATATGGATGTGGAGTAAGTAGGTAATTGGAATTTAGCTGTTGCAAATCTGCAACACCTGCCTGGAGAGGGTTGAAGATGTGCTTACCTGATCACAAATTGGGTGGAGTCTATGGCCTCTCCACAGCTGCTATTGGCCAGAATCCCTCCATTCCCAACAACAGCACATGTGTCCAGACTTTTGTTGGAAAAAGGGTTGCCCTACAGATAACAACAAAAAAGAATTACAATTTCAATATTTTTTCACTCAACATATGGTGAGGTATTTTTAATCAAACCCTATTTGAACAATTTTAGGACATTTAATAATTAAATAAATTTTATTTAATAAAATGTAATTTTAGTTTGTTGGTCAGGTGGTTTCAATAATGTGTTAACCATTATTTTAAAGTAGTTTTTTGTGTTTTTATGAACTCAAATGCCATATATTTTTAGTAAATCTACTCATTCACACATGTTTGAGTAACATTTCATTATTAGTCTGTCTACATCTCCTACATCTCTAGTGAATGTGTTTAAAAACACAGTGGAGCACACAGGGGAACAGAGTGTTTTCTGTTTGTAAGAAGAACTCAGCCTAAATATGCATGATACTTTGAAAACATGTTTAGAATTATCTGCAGTGCAATACCATCTGATATAGTAGCCAGGTTGTTTTTGGGGGGGTGGAGATGTTGAAGCAATATTTGGTCATATTTACCTTGAGATATCTGTGCCCTGTCCAAACAAACCAGCATGTTTTTGTGGGGGGCAGCGCTCAGTAAAAGTGTGATCCTCTTACCAAAAATAAACTGCACAAGGTTTTGTGTATCAGACCACATGTGAGCAGAAAGTTCACCTGCTTGACCCTCAACAGGAAGGAAGAGTACCAAAGAGAAAACTACTACTACTTTTACTACTACTATGAACCTATGTCTACCGTCCCAATACTAACAACCACTATACCAGGCTACCACTGACATTTCTAATACTCCTGGAAACCTCATTCCTTCTATCACAATTTGAAGTACACAATTACTAGTACCACCACTTGGATTGGACTTATACTATAAGTACTACTACTACAAGCCTACTACTTTTACTACCATTACTACCATCCTCACTTCTACTACTGTTACTATGACTTCCACAGAACTATCTTTCTCTCATTGTGTCCTCTCCTCCTATAAGTATTTCATCTATTTCTGTATATTAAAAATGGTAGAGTACATAAGAATTTCACTACATTGTACTGCATGTATGTGTTTAAACCAGTCATACTGGCTTGTCAAAGCCTGATCTTATCAGATCTCAGAAGCTAAGCCGTACCTGGATTGTGCTTGGATGGGAGACAACTGGGAACACCAGGTACCACAGTGGGGCGCCAGTGTCAAAAACTCATTGTGTCCTTAGGCAAGACACTTCACCCACATTACATAGAATCAAAGTGGTATAATGGTGGTGGTCGAAGGGGCAGAGTGGCAGCCTTGCTTCCATCAGCCTGCTGCAGGACAGCTGTGGCTACACTAGTGTAACCGGGTGAGTAGTTTTCCTACCGTGGTGCGTCCGTGAATGCATCCACCTGCGCGTCGCTGTGTGTGGCTCCCAGCGTCACTGATTAACGATTAGAAAAGGCTGCGCACGCCGTAGTGTGGCAGTTGGGGCTTTTGGTGGCTTGTGAACACGGCATGTGTAAGTACCGGAGTTGTTCTTTCAATGTTTCTCTTAGAATTTAATGTGATGTTTCTGGTTACTACGTTTAAAGGCGTGTGTCATCTGGATCAGGCGGTGGTGACGGCGGCCACTCCTAACACGCCCCTGGCCCCATGTAGGGTACTCTCCTAAAATCCAGGTAGAGGCTCTGAGTGGTGTATGTTTGGGGGTGGTGGCATTTGATGGCATGTGTTGGTAATCAGTGTCTTTCTGTGTGGCAGATTACTCTGCTGCTGTTTGTTTCTGCTCTCAGATTCTCTTGATATTGTCTCGTAAATCTCAAGTTCTCTCGCAAAGTATGATTCCATAGTTCCTTTTATCTGTACAGTTAGTGTACTTGCTATAGTGTATATTTATTGGCTGGGGCGGCTTGTGCAATGGTGCAATGTAGTAGCACCTTGCACTTTAAAACCTCTAAAGTCGCAGCACTTAAGACCACGCACCTAGCACTTTAAATCTAAAAGAAATATTCTACAGCACCTTTTTTAATGTGTACTTTTTAAAATGTGTAAAATGAACTGTTTTAATATTGTTAACTAAACTAAAATAAAGAATTTTTTTTTCTCCACTATTTACTGCCTTTGTTCTATGTTTTAGCCAGACTTACCTGTGTTATAATTAAATACATGAAAGTGCTGCTACACTAGTATCTTACCATCACCGAGTGTGGAGTAAAATGAAGACTGCTCTGTAAAGTGCTTTGGGGGTCATGAAAGATGCTGTATAAAGGCAGTGATTAATACATTAAATAAATTATAAATTAAATTAATAAAAACTATTATATTACCACCACCTCACTGGAACTCCTGCTACCACTAACCTACTACTTCTATCTACTACTTGTATTACTGGTTGTTATGTTTACTGTATTTGATTGTCTTATGTTTATTGTTTGCTAAATTACCCCATCTAGTGGTCACTTTAATTTACTCCTGTAGTAATAATTGTCGAAGAAGAACGTTAGACAGGAAGTTGTTGTTCAGGCCCATGGATCTATTAAAATTCAGGTCTCACTCCAGTAAAATGGCGGCCCTTCTGTTCTGGTGTTTCTTTTTGATGTTTGTTTAAGCATCGTCTGTGAGTAGTACATGGTGAAACATGATTGTACACCTTTGGTATTGTCTTTTGAGTTTGAAATGTCCGAGTTAGCACATTTTTGTAACTGTCTGTTACTTTAGTTGTTAGTGCTCTTTATAATTTGTAAATTATTTGGCACTGATATTAATGGATATTTCTGTGTGTGTTTGTTGTTGTATTTTCACGAGAGAAAAAGAACCAGTAAATTACACCAAAGCCAGCTGCTGTCTGTGAAGTTTCTTCTGGGTCTCCGTTTAGCTGTTTGGATAGTTAGTGCAGCATCTAGCGAGGCCATTTACAGTGGCAGTACCACTAGTACTCCTACCAATAGTACTGCTCCACACCTTTAGGAAAGTGTTGAACAGGTCCTGGTTGACATGTATGCTTTTGTTCTTCTGTCCGTCACAAACAAGTTTTGTTCCCAGCGGAGTGTTGGTCTGTGTGACGATGGACTTATGAAAACCATTGCACCTGGAGCTCAGCTGAGACCTGTGGACGACAGAGAAACAAATGTGACCAAGGCTAATAGGCAGAGGGATGTAGAGTAGTCAAAGATTTTACTCAGTTTGAGGTACGTTATTTTAAAATAATATTACCCAAGAAGTAGTAGAGTTAAAAGGTATTTTGGACAAACTACAATTCAAGTAAGAGTAACTTAAAGAGCAACTCTGGGATATTCTGAAGTTAATGTAATTTGAATACTAATAATAATATTAATACTAATAGTAATAATAATGATAATACACAAAATCTGGTATTTTTATAGAATAGACAAAAAAGAGAAAAACAATATGAAGAAGTGCAAAAATCACAAATGTTCAAATAACTTCATAATGTCAATATAAAGTTTGTGGCCATACCGGCTTGTAAAAGCCTGATCCCGTCAGATCTCAGAAGCTAAGCAAGGCCAGGCCTGGTTAGTACTTGGATGGCAGACCACTGGGAAAATCAGGTGCCACAGTCGGGCGCCAGTGGGAATAACTGTCGTTGTGTCCTTAGTAGGGATGGGCATGATTAGTCGATTAATCGATAATTGATCATTAAGAATTTCATCGATTACGTACATTTTAATCAACAAACCGAATGTAGGTTGCTGTGTGTAGCGTGACCAAACAGGGGTCCGTACATGTAGCTCTCTGCACTCAGAAGGAGCGAGCAAACACAAACAGTCGGTAAGTCTGCAACGTACCGAAGTGCATCTGCGTATTTAACGATGATTTGTACAAGAAATTCCACACTTTCCGTTGCGTTCGGGACAAGTGTGAGGCCATGTGTACAGTGAACAAAGCAGCACATATGTTTCGGTGTCCAGTGGGAAAAAGCTTTGCCAGGTGAGAGTCGCGCAATGTCGATGAGGAGTCCCCACCTCCCACCCCCCGTACGGTGTCCTGGTTTTGACAAACACAAATATGGTCACACTAACCTGTATTCCACTGAGTCATGTCTATTAATCCGACAGAAGTTGACCACATCAGCGCACAAGAGTATTTTTAATCTTCGCTTAGTTTATGCAAATTAGCGATGCGGTTTTAAGTTTCGTTTCTGTGAGAGTTGCGCAAAACTGAATTAAACACATTGCAATAAACAGGCTGATGTGGCTCTAGAGTGGTTACGGTTTATTTGTCGTAAAGTTGAATTTATTTATGTAGATTAGGAGTGCAGATAGTAATAATAATGATGATCATTTTAATATAAAATCGTTAACGATTAATCGATAATCGATCGTTAATTCTCTCGACAATCGATTCAGAAAATTTCATCAAATGCCCATCCCTAGTCCTTAGGCAAGGCACTTCAACCACATTACCGAGTATGAAAATGCTGTGTGTGTGTGAGTGGTGGTGGTGGTGGTCGGAGGGACCGATGGCGAAAATTGGCATGGCAGCCGCTCTTCTGTCAGTCTGCCCCAGGGCAGCTGTGGCTACAATAGTAGCTTCAAAAGAAACAGAAAACGCACACCAAAATTCTTGTAGAGGTGCAAATGCAAGAAGCAGCCAGACAAAAGTGAAAAAATGCATAGCACACTCACATGGCCGATGTCCAAAATCTTATTTATTTTCATTTTCAAAATAACGTTTTAAAATAGATAAGCTTTTGGACATCAGACATCTGCTATGCATTTTTTCACTTTTACAATAGTAGCTTACCATCACCAGGTATAGAATGAATGAATAATGCTGAATAACGCCCTGTAAAGCATCTTTGTGACAAAAATGTCTGTGAAAAGCTCTATATAAATAAAGACTAACTTAAAGTTGTCACATGTAGACTTACTCACAGTTTACTCAAGGACGAGTGCTTTTAATGCAATACAATTTTTTCTGAATTAAGAGTCAAAGTATGCTACTAGAAAAGTACTTACTTATGGTAAGTAAATGTGAGGTACCCACCTGTTCACGTTATATAATTTAATGATGATCTATTTTCAGATGGAGGGCAGGGCCTATTTAACTCCTCAAACTTCCTATTTAACTCTTATGGTTTAAGGTCCTGATAGCAATGTAATCCTGTTTTTGACTGAAATTTCCAAAGCCACTGTGAAAAGAGTAATTTCACTCACTTATGCTGACAGAGGCCTTCATGCCAGTTTTTATTTCAGTAATATTAACCATAAATCAGCAAATCAATAATGTTACAGTTTCACATTTGTTTATTTTATTTGAGACGGGGACAGTGCACAATTTTTCATTAACCTTAACTGTGTCCTCCTGCTCAATTTTAAACTTTATTTTTAAAATTTTAAACTTAGAATAAAAGTTTAAAATAGGATAAAGGTGCAATGTGTAACTTCTCTGGTGGAGGGTCCATCAAATGCTTTTCTCCATGGAGATGTTATTGGTTTGTCTGGAATGTTTCACAGTATGGTATTAAACCTTTCTATCTCCATGGAGACCAAACCAGACCAAGTTACAGGTCAGGTTTGCGGAGAGGCGACCCTGCTCACAGTCAGAATGCCTGTTTTTTTTAGGTATTTTTGAGATATAAAACCACCTGTAATTGAATAAATGTAAGGCAGAGCTGTTTAATGTCATACTGAGGAACTTTCCAGACAGAACAGTGAGAAACAGGCACATGACAGACACCCAACCAAAAAGTTACAGAGTATGCCTTTAAAACTAGACACATAAGAAGGGATTTGAAAATAGAGTTGGCCTGGAGCATTACATCACCAAAGCAACAGGAACAATGGCTGCAGTGAACAAGGGTCAAAGGTGAGAAACAAGATTTGAGCAACAAATAAATACCAACAGTCCCTTTGATTAGCTCTCATTTGATTATAGCCTTTATAATTAGACTTTTCTCAAATGAGGTCAGGTAGCTCTGTAATCCTGATGAGTCAGATACATAGTGGTTTTGTGTTTTGTTCCTTAAAATCACTGTTTCCACTTCTGCTTCCATTTAGTACAAGTACAGGGAAGAGTCTGTAAATAGCAGAAGCACGGCTGAGTTGTACCTGAATTTAATGAAGTTGTCCTCTTGTTTTTTCCAAGTCGGAGAATAATTTTTCACCACTTTAGCGATGATTTCACTGTGAACAAGACAAGAATCAAATCATGTAATTTCATAATGACGTTACAGAGGAGGATTATTAGGTTTTCGTAGCGTTCACATCTATGCTGTCATGCTGAATGCAATTTTAAATTAGTCAAGATATAAATTGAACTGCTCCAAGTATGTTTTTGCAATGTTACAGCATAAATTGTTGGCAATTTCAACCTCATTATACGGACTTTGTTTCCTTGGGCAAGACACTTCATGCATTGTCTTGCCTAGTATGAATGTGGTGTGTGTGAGTGATTGATGGTAGCTGAAAGGGCCATTGGCACAGATTGGCAGCTTTGCTTTTGTCAATCTACCCCAGGGCAGATGTGACTACAACAGCACCGCCAAATGTGGAGTGAATAAATAATACAGTGAACACAGGAAAAAGTGGAATGTTAAAATTGACTCTTCCAGAATCAATTTGAACATTTTCTCAGGGTTTATATGAGTTTATATGAGTTAATTTAACATTTTTGGAAATATTATCAAAGTAAGACTTGACCAAAGTTCCTGTTTAACCCCAAAATCAAGAGTTATATTAATGTTTTGAGAGTAAATGGATAACGTTTTGTAGGGTTATCCTAATTTAGCCAAACAACACACAGAAGTGTTTTATTTTTACACTTTGTTTTAGTTAATTTAAGATGAAATTATGTATAAAACTGGTCTTCTCTTGTGGGAGTGAAGTAGTGGGTGGGAGGAGCCAAATGATCACTAACGGAAGTTGAATTTAACTTTCAAATAGTTTCAGAAAACACTTTATGTGTTAAAAACAAATCTGAAATATTTTACCCTGAAATTTTAACCCTCCAGTATTGTAGTGGGACAAGCACATTTTTCTCAAATATATTGTATTACAGTCAAAAGATGTTTACTGGGTGCTGTTCACATCTAATTAGAAAGTATTTTATTGTCAGGAAGTGCATATTAGCATTCTAGTTATTGTTAGCTTTCCCTGCCCCTGAAAGCTGTGGTGAATAATTAAGATGCTGTAATATGGCCAACTGTTTCAAATAAATGTCAGTTTCTCATGTTTTTTAAGACAATCAGAATCAAGCACAGTGACTTTAAGTACATTAAAAGGTCCTGTTTAAATCCAAGCTATTATTATTTTGCATAAGATGTCTCAAGTTGAAGTACCTGCAGCCACCACAGTTGTCAGTGTCAGAGTTCTTTTGTGAAGAGGGTCTCCGAGGCTCAATTTTACTGCAGAGAAAGAAAGAGAAGAAGGGAAGGGGAGAGAGAGAGAGAGAGAGAGGTCAGATAAAACGATCATCTCATTACATAGGCCTGGAATCCGTGTATCATTCGTTCATTCGTTTTTCAATATAAAACCAAAAATAAGAAAACGAAAAAACAACAGTTTTCTTCGTTATTTGTCTCCAAAACCAAAATGAAAAAACGGATAACGATTCGTTTTTTTCAGTTTTCGATTTTTTGTTTACATGAAGAATGGAAAAAACAGATAACGGCCGTTTCCCGTTTACGTGACTTCCGTGACTGCGATGCCGGACTTTTGCACCGCATACGGACTGAACCGGAACTGATCCAGGTCCGAGACCAGAGCGGGACTGAGACCGGGACCAGACCGGGACCAGAGCGGGACTGAGACCGGGACCAGACCGGGACCAGGGCGGACTCCGAGCTTTGACTCCGAGCCTCCACGGGGTCCGAGCCTCAGCTTCGAGCTCCGGCCCTGCCGTGGGCTCTGAGCCTCTGGTCTGGTCCCGGTCTTGTCTCGGTCTCGGTCTCAGGCCCGCTCTGGTCCCGCTCTGGTCCCAGTCTCACCGCATACGGACTGAATCAGGACGGATCCAGGTCCGAGACCAGACCGAGCTGCTCTGGTCCTCCGCGCTCAAGAACCGCGGCTGGTTCCGAGGTGGTGCAAAGCCTCCGACTGACGCATTCACACCAATGAAAATGAATCGAACTAAGAGCTTTTTGTTCAAATGGACCAGGTCCGGGACCAGACCGGGACCAGAGCGGGCCTGAGACCAAGACCGAGACAAGACCAGGACCAGACCGGGACCAGACCGGAGGCTCAGAGCCCACGACAGGGCCGGAGCTCGAAGCTGAGGCTTCGGACCCCGTGGAGGCTCGGAGTCAAAGCTCGGAGTCCGTCCCCTGGTCCCGGTCTGGTCCCGGTCTCAGTGTCTCACGCTCTGGTCCTGGTCTGGTTCCGGTCTCAGTCCCGCTCTGGTCTCGGTCTCAGTCCCGCTCTGGTCCCGGTCTGGTTCCGGTCTCAGTCCCGCTCTGGTCCCGGTCTGGTTCCGGTCTCAGTCTCCGCTCTGGTTCCGGTCTCAGTCCCGCTCTGGTCCCGGTCTGGTTCCGGTCTCAGTCCCGCTCTGGTCCCGGTCTCAGTCCCGCTCTGGTCTCGGACCTGGATCAGTTCCGGTTCAGTCCGTATGCGGTGCAAAAGCAGTGCAAAAGTTCCGGCATCGCAGTCACGGAAGTCACGTAAACGGGAAACGGCCGTTATCCGTTTTTTCCATTCTTCATTTAAACACAAAATCGAAAACTGAAAAAACGAATCGTTATCCGTTTTTTTTATTTTGGTTTTGGAGACAAATAACGAAGAAAACTGTTGTTTTTTCGTTTTCTTATTTTTGGTTTTATATTGAAAAACGAATGAACGAATGATACAAGGATTGCCTGGCTCCAGTTCCTGTTCATCATGACTTGTCCATTGTTTACATCTGAGCTGAGGGGAAAATGTTATCTGACAGAACAGCAGACATTCAACTCAATATTTATTACATTAACTCACTTTTGCTTCTTAGCATCAGAGGGAAATCATAGATTTAAGAGTCAAAGTATGCTGAATTAAGAATCAAAGTATGCTTCTAGAAAAGTACTTACTTATGGTAAGTAAATGTGAGGTACCCACATGTTTGTTTGTTTGTTTTTTATTTAGATCCCCATTAGCTACTGAAAAACAGCAACTACTCTTTCTGGGGTCAGTAACATTCTATAAATGCCTTTTTCTGCAGGAAAACTGGATGTATATGCACCATATTTGCACTAACAATGAAAGGTATATATATACACATACATATACACACAGACACACATACATATACATATACGCACATATACACACATATATATACACACATACATGACATACACATATACATCTACATTATTATTTTCTATCTCATTAATCCAGTCATCAGTCATTTGAGCTAACGCTGATGTTGTGGAATGCCCTTTTTTATAAGCATGCTGGCACACTAAATTTAATCCATTTTTACAGAAATATACATTAATTTGATCATAAACAATTCTCTCCATTATTTTACTCAAAATTGGTAGAATACTTATAGGATGACTATTCTTTCTGGAAAAAGGCTCCTTACTATTTTTTGGGAGTGCCATAATTTTAGCCTTTTTCCATTCTGCAGGACAGATACACCTTTCTAAACTTAGATTAATTATGTAACATATGGGTATAGCAATTATATCACACACCAATTGTAGCAACTTTACATCAAGTTCATCTATACCTGGAGGTTTTAATTTAATTAATTTTAACACATTAGCTACAGTAGTTGTATTTACTTTATTAAATTTAAATTTACATGATTTATTTAGCATAATTTTATTTTTGATTATTGAACATGATAGCAGACTCTTTGGCCTAGAAATCATGTTTTTCCATAAATTTAGAATTTTATTCTTGAAATAATCACTTAAATAATTAGCAATATCAACTGGCTTAGTCAAAAAAGAGTCCTCTACTTCCAAATATGTTAGAGCAGATTTTATCTTCCGTCTCATTAATTCATTTAGTGTATTCCTTATTTTATTGCTGTCAGATTTTACATGGAAAAATTTATTTCCATAATAAGCCCGTTTCTTTAATCTATTTAATTTGGTCACATAATTTCTCAGCTTCTTGTACCTGTCCCACACTTCACTGTTGTCTGATGAGATAGCTTCAGCTTTTAGATCATTTCTTTGCTTCATGTACCCTGTAAGTTCAGGATCTAACCAGGGAGAAGCAGTGTTTCCTACGGTCATCTTTCTCAGTGGAGCATGTTTATTGATAATTGACATTATTAACCTGTTACCACCCGCCTCATTTTGGTGTGTGCACAATGGTAAGACATACCCAAATGTCATAGCTTATTAAAAAGAAAACCTTAGAACCCACGTGCTTGTGTGAGGCACCATTTTAAAGCTTAGGCCTTCTAGTTTCTGTAGATATGTATATGAAGACTGTGAGTGCTGCCTAACCTACAGTACAGTCAATTAAAATTGAAAAAAAAAAAAATTTTTTTTGCTTCGAAAAAAAAAATTTAGAAAAAAATAAAGGCTTTAGCTTGGTCATACTTCATACTAGGCATTTGTGACTCACTACACTCATTGTTCAAGTTGTTGGCAACAACTGTGTAGAATTTCAGATCTCTAGGACAAAGGGTTTTGATGCTGTGAGCCTTTGTGTAAACAAAATGACAATTCGGCACAAGATTGCCAAATTTGTGCCAAAATAATAATAATAATATAATAATAATAATACTTATTATTATAATACTAATTCTTCTGAGCTTTAGGCATGTCTTCTCTAGAAAAAAAAAACTAAAAGTAGCCAAAATTGTCTTCCAACTGGCAGTTCTGCAATCAATGGCACCTGCCACACTGCTCTCTGTGTCTCACTCATGGTCTCTCGGCTGCGCGTATAAACACCGCGTCCGTTTCAAATACTATCTGCATGTCCCACCCATCGTTTGAAAGCTCTGGTGATAGGCTAAAACAATATGTCAATCACTTTCTGGAAGATCCAATGACTGAAGAGATTTCCCGTAAACAAACTGATGACGCGTGCGTAAAGCCAGGAAGTACGTGAGTGCGTTAGCTTCTTCAGCGGCTTGTCCCACCTAAACCCCGCCACCTACAACAGCGGGGAGGGTCTCATTTTGAAGCTAAGAGTGTGAGGAAAACAAGCGTACCCAAGAGCGGGAGAGAAAGGGAAGTGAGAGCGGGAGAAGAGGCGGAGAAGAGACATAATATTTTCATTCACGGATTCATCCACTCATACGGACGACGGTTTTCTGGATTATTCCCCCACATGGAATTATTTTTTGGAAAAAACACTTGATATTCTTTTTCTGTGGATTATTACGGATTTATTGAGTACAACTTTTCATGGATTGAACACGTTTTGGACCGACAGAACCGGCTCAAAGGTAAGAAACGCGTATCTTATTCTTTGTTTATGATGTGAATTTTTAAGTTATAGCGTTTTGGGCTCGTTGTACGGCATAAAATGAATGATATGGTTGTTTTATTGATAAATTAAGCTTTCAAACGATGTATGGCATGCCAGTAGTGAAAACAATAATGAAGGTGAATATACAGAGTGAACATTTTTGTTGGAAAATCGCCCGCCGGCGGGCGGGTGGATTAGTAAAAGCCTCCAATGCTCTATCTGGATCATCCTCCAATAATACTTGTGACCAGTCAACATTTCTGACCTCTTCCACATAACTCGTTTCATCAAATCTTTTAAATATCCGTTTAATAATAATATTCTGCCCTGATCTGGGGACTTTGGTATTTCGGTTAATTATAATTAAATTATGATCACTAAACCCAACACAAACTGAAATCATTTTAGAGCATAAATCTGATGAATTTGTAAACATTAAATCAATACATGTGGCAATTTGTGTCCCTTAAGCTGTGTAAAAGACTCTACTTGGTTTTGTTACGACTTGTGCCAAATTACAAGTGTCTGTAATAGATAAGAGCTTATTTTTCAAAGAACAATTTTTTAAACTCCAATCAATATTTAAGTCACCTAAAAAAATAAATCTCCTTATTTAGGTCACATACTTTATCTAACATATAACATATACGATCTAAGCAAACTATTGGAGCATTTGGAGGCCTATAACAGCAACCAATAAGAACGGACTTGATATGAGGCAACTGCATTTCCAACCACAAAGCTTCAACATCAATACACCCAAGATCAGACCTAGTCTTTACTGGTATCGGATCCTGAACATAAAATGCCACTCCATCCCCATTTATATATCTGTCATACCTATAAAAATGGTAGCCATTTACATGCACAAAGGAGTTATCAATCGTTGCATCCAAATGTGTTTCAGATATAGCCAAAATATGCAAATTATAATTTTCCAAAATTCCTGAAATCTCCTGAACCTTATTCCTTAAGCTACAGATATTCAGATGGGCTATTTTTAATCCTTTATTTGATACTACATTATCTCTTACCATAACATATTATACTTATATACCTTTAAATCAGACCTTTCACAATTGTAGAGCTATAAAATTAACAAAAAAGAAACACAAATAAGACGGACAAGACAGGCACTCTTTCCTTCACAAAAACATACACATAACACATGCACACATAGACATACAAGGACATACAAACATACAACAAAGACATACACACATGTACCCCCCAAAGTAAGAAAAATAATTCAGCATTTCCCATTATATCCATTAACCAGTCCCAAAGTAAACTGAGTGGCTCCGATCATCAGTCCTGTCAAGTCCGCATAGTCGTTAACATAGCAATGACGCGATGACGTAATCACTGTGCGACTTTGTTATTGTTCATCACGCCTGTACAGTTCACCATTCACATACAGTTTATCGACTATAAGGTGGACTTTCTGCCCTTTTTGCCTAAAAGACTTTTTAATAGGCTGTGTTCATGTTATATAATTTAATTTTGCCCATAGTGTCTGTGTACACTGGTGTGTGAATGTGTCTGTGAATGGGTGAGTGGTTCCTTGTTGTAAAGCACTTTGAGAGGCTTGAAGGTGGAAAAGCGCTATAGAAAAATGTGACCATTTACCATGATGATCTATTTTCAGATGGAGGGCAGGGCCTATTTAACTCCTCAAACTTCCTATTTAACTCTTATGGTTTAAGGTCCTGATAGCAATGTAATCCTGTTTTTGACTGAACTTTCCAAAGCCACTGTGAAAAGAGTAATTTCACTCACTTATGCTGACAGAGGCCTTCATGCCAGTTTTTATTTCAGTAATATTAACCATAAATCAGCAAATCGATAATGTTACAGTTTCACATATGTTTATTTTATTTGAGACAGGGACAGTGCACAATTTTAAACTTTATTTTTAATTTTAAACTTGGAATAAAAGTTTAAAATAGGATAAAGGTGCAATGTGTAACTTCTCTGGTGGAGGGTCCATCAAATGCTTTTCTCCATGGAGATGTTATTGGTTTGTCTGGAATGTTTCACAGTATGGTATTAAACCTTTCTATCTCCATGGAGACCAAACCAGACCAAGTTACAGGTCAGGTTTGCGGAGAGGCGACCCTGCTCACAGTCAGAATGCCTGTTTTTTTAGGTATTTTTGAGCTATAAAACCACCTGTAATTGAATAAATGTAAGGCAGAGCTGTTTAATGTCATACTGAGGAACTTTCCAGACAGAACAGTGAGAAACAGGCACATGACAGACACCCAACCAAAAAGTTACAGAGTATGCCTTTTAAAACTAGACACATAAGAAGGGATTTGAAAATGGAGTTGGCCTGGAGCATTACATCACCAAAACAACAGGAACAATGGCTGCAGTGAACAGGGGTCAAAGGTGAGAAACAAGATTTGAGCAACAAATAAATACCAACAGTCCCTTTGATTAGCTCTCATTTGATTATAGCCTTTATAATTAGACTTTTCTCAAATGAGGTCAGGTAGCTCTGTAATCCTGATGAGTCAGATACATAGTGGTTTTGTGTTTTGTTCCTTAAAATCACAGTTTCCACTTCTGCTTCCATTTAGTACAAGTACAGGGAAGAGTCTGTAAATAGCAGAAGCACGGTTGAGTTGTACCTGAATTTAATGAAGTTGTCCTCTTGTTTTTTCCAGGCCAAAGAATAATTTTTCACCACTTTAGCGATGATTTCACTGTGAACAAGACAAGAATCAAATCATGTAATTTCATAATGACGTTACAGAGGAGGATTATTAGGTTTTCGTAGCGTTCACATCTATGCTGTCATGCTGAATGCAATTTTAAATTAGTCAAGATATAAATTTAACTGCTCCAAGTATGTTTTTGCAATGTTACAGCATAAATTGTTGGCAATTTCAAACTCATTATACTGACTTTGTTTCCTTGGGCAAGACACTTCATGCATTGTCTTGCCTAGTATGAATGTGGTGTGTGTGAGTGATTGATGGTAGCTGAAAGGGCCATTGGCACAGATTGGCAGCCTCACTTTTGTCAACCTACGCCAGGGCAGATGTGACTACAACAGCACCGCCAAATGTGGAGTGAATAAATAATACAGTGAACACAGGAAAAAGTGGAGTGTTAAAATTGACTCTCCCAGAATCAATTTGAACATTTTCTCAGGGTTTATATGAGTTTATATGAGTTAATTTAACATTTTTGGAAATATTATCAAAGTAAGACTTGACCAAAGTTCCTGTTTAACCCCAAAATCAAGAGTTATATTAATGTTATGAGAGTAAATGGATAACATTTTGTAGGATTATCCTGAATTAGCTATTAGCTTGTGGGAGTGAAGTATTGAGTGGGAGGAGCCAAATTATCACTAACGGAAGTTGAATTTAACTCTCAATTAGTTTCAGAAAACAATTTTTGTGTTAAAAACAAATCTGAAGTACTTTACCCTGAAATTTGAACCCTCCAGGTTTTGCTGTGTAAAACCATTAAAGACGTATTTGAGAAAAATGTGCTTGTCCCACTACAGATATATTGTACTGAAGTCAAAAGATGTTTACTGGGTGCTGTTCACATCTAATTAGAAAGTATTTTATTGTCAGGAAGTGCATATTAGCATTCTAGTTATTGTTAGCTTTCCCTGCCCCTGAAAGCTGTGGTGAATAATTAAGATGCTGTAATATGGCCAACTGTTTCAAATAAATTTCAGTTTCTCATGGTTTTTAAGACAATCAGAATCAAGTACAGTGACTTTAAGTACATTAAAAGGTCCTGTTTAAATCCAAGCTATTATTATTTTGCATAAGATGTCTCAAGTTGAAGTACCTGCAGCCACCACAGTTGTCAGTGTCAGAGTTCTTTTGTGAAGAGGGTCTCCGAGGCTCAATTTTACTGCAGAGAAAGAAAGAGAAGAAGGGAAGGGGAGAGAGAGAGAGAGAGAGAGGTCAGATAAAACGATCATCTCATTACATAGGCCTGGCTCCAGTTCCTGTTCATCATGACTTGTCCATTATTTACATCTGAGCTGAGGGGAAAATGTTATCTGACAGAACAGCAGACATTCAACTCAATATTTATTTCATTAAGAACTCACTTCTGCTTCTTAGCATCAGAGGGAAACCATAGATGTAGAAAACTGGCATGGTATATTTATCCAAAAGAACATCAGATTCAAAGAGGACTTTTCAAAAAGAAAATTGTGAAGCCCGGGCTTTGGCCTGCTATGGAGGAAGCACGCCGCAGAGGATGAAGAGCCTTCTTAAAGTAGGGACATGCACTAATTGATGGTAAGAGTTGAACCAGAAGAAAAAGCTGACCACAAATAAGTGTTGGTTAGATGTTAGCAAGTTAGAGATTGTTCTTTAAACTTTAAGGAAAAAAAAAAAACTTTCTCCAAGATACAAGATAATAATGGATTTTGTACACAAATTTTGAGACAAAAGGGGTTCTGTTAGGAAAAAATAAAATAAATGTTCTAGGAGAACATGCTCCTTCCTGCTCATCATTGTATTCTAGCGAATACAAGAGTTTACAGTTCTTTCATTTACTTATATTTATTCATCTGAGTTCTTTAAATGTTTAAAAAAATTGGTTTAAAAAATATTGTTAAACACAAGGCCATATTTCTTTTTTGTAAGGAGGTTCATTAAGGTGTAAAAAGTCAATTTGCTGACAATACAGTCAATTTTTTGAAAGACAAGTCAATTCTCAAAAAAGCTCCAAACATCTCTGTGTTTTCTCTGGCATCAGGTCTGTGAATGTGAATTACTACTACTACTTTTTATGAATGCACTGACACGAGTCTATACCTGTGAAAACTGAAATTAAATACTTGGGAACAAGTAACCAGAGATGACAAAACAAGAGAATCCAAAAATATCAAGGAAAAAACTGAAGACATTTCAAAAAGTCTAAACTACTGCTTAACAAGGGATCTAAACAGACAAAGGGGTACCTGGGGCCCTGCCCAGCGATGACCCTATGGGCACCTACCAGATAACATTAACAAATTACCAAATGTTTACAGTGTAGACACATGTACAAATACGGCAGATGCTATTTGCACCCTGAGTGTAAATAGCTAACATTGTTATTCACACATAGGGCAAATAGCCATTGTTGCTATTTACACCCAGGTTATTTATTTTTTTTTAAACTAAACTCACTGACAGTACAAACATGAAGGCACCAGCCCAGTGAAAATCAGTAATATTTGGAGCCATGGCTCCAGTTCCATTGTTTCGCTGATGACATCCAACTCTACCTGTCCACCAAAAGCATAACCCCAGCTACACATTCCACCCTCACAAACTGCGTCTCTGAAATAAAGTCCTGGCTACAGTCAAACTTCCTCCAACTCAACTGCAGCAAAAGTGAAATAATCATTATCAACCCCAAAACACTAACCAGAACTCACAATATCTTCACCCTCTCCATTGATGGCTCCTCAGTCCCCACCTCCTCCCTCCTCCGTAACCTCGGCATCCTGTTTGACCAGACCCCCTTTCCTTTGAACACCACATCAAACACATCACCAAAACTGCCTTTTATCACCTCCGGAACATTGCTCGCCTCTGCCCATCCCTTTGTTGTTTGTCTTCTCATGTAGCGTCTTTGGGTGTCTTGAAAAGCGCTATACAAGGTTATGTATTATTATTATTAAAAAGGAAATCAAATACATGATTATGACTAAACCTGTAGCTCTATTCTAGTGTTTCTCAAAAATTGCTTGTTTTGCATTCCCTTACGGCCTCTAGTACGTGCAAGACACTACGATGAAAGCTACGCCACCCTTGCTGAAACTAACTCATGAACTAGAGCCCTGCATAAAATGACCAAGTCAAAATGATTGACCTACAACAAAGCCTAGCAAACTGTACTGCACTGAAACACTCTGCCCCTCTTTTCTGGACCCTCATCCACAGAAAATTAGAAGTCAAAGACCTCGGCTACGCTGGAATCCGAGCATGCGCTGGATGGAGTAAAGATGCTGCAACGCGGACGCAAGTTTGGAATTATGAATGAATCAAAGACGCCGCACCGCTGGATGCGTAAAGACACAAGGCTTGCGTGCCGTGAGTAAACTCAAGCGCTACTGTGCGCTCTGGAAAAGTGAACAATTACGCACTAAATAACCAAATGTGTGGACTGTAAAGGAAATTAATTAAAACTGGAATGAATTTGTGAAAAATGGACGAAACTGTGGAACAAGGAAATGAGGAGGAAAATGCTCAAAACGACGTTGTGGAGAACAATGAAATTGAAAATGACCTCAAAAGGCTCAGCGCCAGTCGGAGAGGAAAGCTGGGTGCATGTACAACACGAATGAATGAAATTAAAGTACTCATGTCAAATCCTCAAAATATGGACTATTGCAAATTTTTGCAAATTTTTGAACAATTCAAAGTGTCATTAAATGAGATTAAAACATGTCATGGAGCAGTGCAAAAACTTTCAACTCTAACCTAAAATGGAAATATTCAGTGCATTTATGATGGATGTGGAAGCTTGGATTGTGGTTCCAGACCCACAGGTCTTGGAGGAGCCAAAGGATAATACATCAAATGTGTCAACAAAAAGCACAAAATCTGGTAAATCTCAAAACTCTAGTGCCTCAAGAGAGCGCCTGAGATTGTTCTCTGAAAAAGCTGCTATGGAGGCTCGTATGGCTGTATTAACTGAGAAACAGGCAATGGAGATTGAAAAGGCCAGGATAACTGCTAAACTGGAGGAAATGGAGCTCGCAACAAATATAGCTGCATCTGATGCCAGGTTAAGTGTTCTGGACAGCTTTGATCAAAGTCCTGAAAATGCAATGTCACACAAAGCACTGAGTAAAATCAAACATGATCAAAATATCACCAGTATCAAAGAATACAATGTATCTATGGGTATTTCTGAAACTTCATCTGCTAAATATCCTGATATAGGTACAATATCCAAGACTCCTATTCAACGTTTTGTAAATGAATCAGCCAAGGCAGGAACATCATCCAAAGGGCATAAATCTAATGCTACACCAGTACATGTCAGAGTTCCTCCATCTGAATGTGAAAGTGGTTCTGAAAGTGGCACAAGTACAGACAAGTCATCCCTATCCAAAGAACTGCTTACTGTTATTCAAAAACAAAATGACATCACAAGTCTTCTAATGTCACAGCAGCAACAGTCCTCACTCCCCTCTAGACAAATACAAGTGTTTGATGGCAATCCATTACAATTTCAGACATTTGTGAGAGCATTTAAACATGGCATTGAGAGTAAAACAAATAATGATGATGACAGACTTTATTATTTGGAACAATATACAAGTGGCCAAGCCAAAGAGCTTGTAAGGAGCCATTTTCACATGGATGCAAATATGGGCTATAAAGAAGTACAAAAACTTTTAAAAACACATTTTGGTAATGAAATCAAAATAGCAAATGCAGACATCGAAAAGGCTCTTAAAACAGTATCAAAACTGATGATGGCAATGCTCTGCATGCATATGCACTTTATCTGAGAGGATGCTGTAACACAATGGGACAGTTAAAAGTAATGCAAGAATTAAATCTACCATCTAATGTAAAACTGATTCTGTCCAAATTGCCATATAAACTCAAAGAAAAGTGGAGAGTAGTGGCATATGGACTCTTAGAGGCAAATAAAAAAAATGAGCAGATTTTCCTGATCTTGTGGCGTTTATTGAAAGACAGGTCAGTATCTTGCAGGACCCTTTGTTTGGTGAAATCCAAGATGTCTCAAAGAAAACCTATTCAAAAGCCACAGTGGCAGTAGACTCTAGGCCTCAACTGCACCCTCAGAAAAACAAAATCAGCAGTTTTGCCATGTCAATAAATAACTGTAAAACACTGTGTTGTATTTGTGGGAAATCAAATCATTCTTTGGATCAATGTGAAAAACCAAAATCACAGACGCATGAAGGAAAGGTACAGCTGCTTAAAAATAATGGTATCTGCTTTGGTTGTTTAAACAAGGGTCATCTGAGTAAATTAAGTAAAAAAAGAATGACGTGTGAGTTCTGTCAAGGTAGACATCCCAGTGTGCTACATATACAAAACGCGATGGACAGTCAAAATCTGCAACAAAAACAATCAGTCAGTGGCACATTATTTTCAATGGAAAGGAAAACAAGTGCCGATACTATTGATAATTTAGGCAAATTATCAATAGTGCCTAACCAACTAAAAGCAGTAAAAGGAGACAAGACAATCTTAACATATGCTTTCCTTGACTCTGGAAGCACAGCTACATTTTGTAACAAAAATATTATGAGACAGCTAAACATCAATGGAAAAAAGACAAAGGTTTTATTACAAACAATGGGACAAAGAAAGCCAGTGAACAATTATGAAATAAATGGTTTACAAGTTGGAGATGTGAGTGGCAATAACTTCATTGAAATGGAAAAGACATATACCCAGACAAGCATTCCTGTAACAAAAGCAAACATATTCACACAAACTGACATTAACAAATGACCTTATGTGAAAGACATTCATATTAAAGAAATTGATGCGGATGTGGATCTCCTGACAGGAGTAGATGTGCCAAAGGCTATGGAACCGTGGCAGATTATAAACAGCCAAGGTAATGGACCCTATGCTGTAAAAACTTTACTTGGATGGGTGGTGACTGGGCCCTTCAGTTCTGCAGCTGTGGACAGACATGGTAGACCTGTGGCATCAGTAAACCGCATTTCAGTTGAAAACCTGGAGTCTATTCTAAGGCAACAGTACAGCCATGACTTTCCTGAAAAAGAATATGAAGAGAGGCAACAAATGTCAGTGGAAGACACACAGTTTATGAATATGATGTCACAACAGGCCACACTGAAAGACAATCACTACTACTTACCTTTGCCACTCCACAATAAAGACACTGTGATG